GGGGGGGGGGGGGGGGGGGTCTATGGTAAGTGTTTCGTTGTGGCTGGCCATGCGATGTTGGTTTCAGCTGCTCCCTGGCCGACCTCGTTGCATAGATACCTTTCATGTTGTGCCGTGTGATTGTTCTGTGCCACTGGCACAGCAGTGTGGGTAATGGAAATGAGTCGTGGCGAGGGGTGTGATTTGTGCTTCGGTGTCCGTCCGTTGTAGTAGCCGTATCGCAGGCGTGATAGCTCTTGTTGCAACCGCAGCAAGGATTGCATAGCATGCCTATTGTTGTAGCCGTTCTTTTAGTCCTCGGATGGAATTGGATAATGATGAGAGCAGGTTTGTTTTTCGCTCATCATGCTTCCTCGGCCGTACGAAAGGATGTGGTTAGTCCTTTTGTCCGTTGGTCCGTTGGGCACAGGGCGACTTTTTCAGCCAGCGACGTCCTGACTCCCCAGAGGTTGCTACTCCGAATGGTGGTCATTGTGTGGGCCACTCGCCGTGAAAAGACAGATTTTCACCGGCCCCGGTTACACTGAATTGAAACAGAAGAAAAGTAACACGGGATTGTTTCTTCCTCGAGACACGGAAAAGAGGGGGGCAAGATTACTATCTTGCTATCGATCGTGCTTGGTGAGCGAGCGTGTCGCTGTGTGCGCTCTCGACTAAAAACCTCGAAAGCTTCAGACAGGCAACGCTACGATACTCGTCGAGTTGCTATCACAACATGCTTCCATGGCATCTAAAAACCACATACCACAACCCCACACACACCTCTATTGGTTTGCTAGCCCCCTTGTGGCGAATTAATTACCCCCCCCGCCTTCCTCTCGGCTAGCTTCGACTTTTTTGTCCAACACCTTCGCCTGTTCGAGCCGCTGCCGAGCGCGTGTCGACTCGTGCTGCTCCCCCTCGTTGGCAGCCGCCGTCACCGCCGCTTGGTTGTCCTCCTTAGCACCACCGCCGACCGCGGCAGCAGGGTTCGGAGCGGTCACTGACGGGGACGAAGCCGATCCCTGCACCTTCCTCGTCGAGCCTCGCCTGGAGGCCTTGCTGTTGCTCGTCCTGCTGCTGCTATCGATGGAGGGGGGCGCCTCGCTCGTCGCTGCCAATCTCGCCGCCTTGGCGGTCTCCTTGTTGTTGTTTGACGTCAGCGTCGACCGTTTGGTCTTCCGGGCTGTCTTCACCTTGGCGGCCTGGTTTGGCTCTGGCTGCTGGGTCGGCGGGAGAGTCTCGCCGGCCGCTCTCCGTCGCCGCGGTCTTTTGCATGGCCGGGAGGGGTATGTAAAAGAGGTCAAAAGAGTACGGCGGGGTCCGTTCGATTTGTGGCTGAGTGGGGTTGTTGGTTGGCTGTCTTGCGTGAGTGGGGGTACCACTGGGGCTAAGTGAAGACAGTATATCAAGTATTTTGCGTGCCGTGCACTCTCTAGACTACCCAATTCACGCCCTTGCCTGAAAAAAGGTCCATCAGCTATTTGTGCGATCGATGCAGTATTTTCAGCGGTGCGTTGTGGTACTACTACTGTACCATAGACCTGCAATGGAAGGTCCCGTTTGACCAGTCCGGGACTTGCTCCCCCCTAAATAGATCAACCATCCATATGGAGTTAATGAGATGAGATAACGGTCCTTACGCGTCACTCCGGTGTTTGTTGTGTGCTTTTGGTGTCCTACAACAGCCGCCATGATATTCTCGTTCACCTTCGCATCCAGCGCCGCAGGACGTCGATCGCGTTGAGCGTGACCTTCATGATGAGATACTCTTCTTCAGCGGACCATACCTTCAGTAAGGTATCGATGTGACCGTTATCCCGCGAGCAGGAAAAAAATGTAGGGTAGCGTTTAGGGGGTTGCAGTGTGGAGGGTGGGGCTCGAACGAGAAATCGCAGCACACGGACAGATGTTGTGTTCATCATGTTGATTTTTTAACGGGGGGGCGGGGTGATAAGAGGGAAGCAGGTAATAAGAGAATCAGGCGTGGCGACAGGCGCATGGGACACAGATAGGTGTTGGATGGGCGACCAAACACGACGAGCTCACCGCCACCGTGACATTTCTTGAGCTTTACCTTAGTCTACCGATAGCGGTGAGAGAAATACTTTGTCTGGTTCTGAAAAATACGAAAACGAGGGGGCGATGGATGACACCTGAAGGAAAAATATTTGTTACTGAGAGGTGGTTGAACCGGCAAACAAAAGAGGGACGGCGATGGCACGTACGGGCATCGCTATCCTGAGCGCTTCGTCCAGATCCACGCTTGGTCGGCCGGCATTCGGCTTGTTGAGCTTCTCTCGTCGGCACCGGTCATCCAGGCTCTCTGCGAGCCTCCCTATCTGCGAAGGACGGTCCGATGTGATGATTAAAGCGACGTCCACGTCGTGCGTACGTATGCGTGCGCGTTTCTTTGGTTCGCACAGACCGCGCTTGCCGGCTGTCCATTGAAGATACGCCAGTAGTCTCAAATCGGAACTACGGAACAAACGCGACTATTGGCGGAATGGCAATTATTTTCTGTATCGTTGAAGCATCCTGGACGTTCACCCACGGGTATGTTGCTTAATTCGCTCTCCTCCCCGAAATCGATTCAAGGGGTCGTCGTCGTCTTAAACAGGGACGACACAAAAAAATGCGGCAAAATTAACTGTGTCCATCAGGGGTGGGCAGGAGGATTGCTTTGAACGAAGTTGTAGGGCCGCTCCCACGAGGGTTTGAGAGGATTCTTGACAAACACGTACGACGTACTTTTTGGACGGACACGCAATTAACCCGACGTGTGTGTCCCCGCCAGTGGTGACGAGATTCGGCATGCCCACAGAACTCAGTACACACACGGAACACAGCCACGCCTGCATACCGCGCACGACTCGGCGGCGACTGACCTGTATCAAGAACATCACCATCGCCGGACACTCGGCGGGAACGTCCGGGCAGATCTGCAGCCACACCGACGAGGAAATAGACGGGAGACTGAAAAAATCGAGGAAAGTCAACAACGCCAAACGATGCACCCTCGCACTCGCAGACCCCTTACGATGTGATGGTGGCGGATGTCCACAGACGCCCACTACACAACGGAGACCGGAGGCTACCAAATACTTGGAGCAGCATCGTGTTTCACGACGATCTGGGTCGGTTGTCGATCGGTGTGCCAACGGTGGTAAAGGGTGCAGAAGCCAGACTACGTGCCGAAGGAACACATGAAGATAGGTTCATGTGCTTGTATGCAAAATCGCAAAGCACGGTCGCGCGCTGCACGGAAAAGAAAATCACGGTTCTCCAGGGTAAGCGTGATGCCCAAAAACCTCCCCTCCTAACTCTGTAGCCGGGATGCCCAATCAACCCATGACATAATAGGTTTGCCATAGCAAACGCCAGGATCATGACCAGTTGTGGTTCATCCTTGTGAAACGTAGCCTGGGTCGGCGAAAATAACGGCACATCACCCCCCGGCATGGACGGGACACGAGACACGAAGTCAATGGTTTAACGACTACGGCATGCGATTGCCGAGGTACTCCCCCCACCCCCCCACCTCTTTGACAGCCTGCATGAAGTCGTGCATCGTGACAGCCACCGGAACTTTGGCGTTGCCGAGCCACCTGGGGGGGGGGGGGGG